TACCTCAGAAAGTTTCAGTGTTATTGAAACACTGCTGTTCAATGGAAATCTATTGCTCATCAGAACATTTTTCTCTAGACCTAAATGAAATGTGATGAGTTGCTAAAGTACCAGTCTTTTTTCAAGTATTTTGTTGTGGTGTTGTATACCTAATTTTTTTTTCTAGTAGTTGTGGCTTGGAATTTCTAAAATGTTTAAATCCATTTGCTTTGCTTGTAATAACTGTTTCTGATGAAGTTAAGTAATCATGATGTTACTTTTCTCACTGCATCAGAATGATTAACAGTCGGTCTAATAAAACATTTTGTTTTGACCAGCTGCAAAAGGGAATGTGTATAGCAGGGAAGGCTCTGAAATTGTTAGTGTCATAGTTGTAGATGTGGTGTGTCGCTACAACTGCAAATCTCTTAAAAAGAAAAAAAAAGTAACAACAAAAATGTTCATATAGATTAGTATGCCAGTTGGCTAAAACATATGATTTGTAGGTACATAAAAATGCATTTAAAAGTATGTGCACTGGCAGTTTTGTGTTCTTGAAAAGGATGAATTGATAAGGTGGCCTGAAATAGGAACAGTAATATGCCGTCAAACTCTGAGAAGACTTTTTTTTTTTAAGCCAGGCCCTTAATTTAAAATTTCACATTTCATTAGCACAGGTGGTTGTTTTTAGGTTTTTTTTTCTCAAATATATGCGGACAGCCTCCTTCATAGCCACATAACCTTTTCTTTACAACCTAAACTGTAGCATCAGATCTTTTGCTATAAATATGTATCAGTCAAGGCTTTTACAAAAGTTAAATCATGAATGTTTAATCAGAGAATTTCTCTTCCTAACTTCATACTATATATAATAAAGCAAAGTATTTATTTGAAAATGGAGAATTATTTGCTGTATCTCAAACCTTTTTTCGTCTTTGGAGATAAAATCTCTATAAAACTGCAGTGAAAATGCAATATTTGTGCCAGTATTAAGTTTTCCTCTGATCTAAACCAGATATAGGTGATACATGAAGAAAAAGATGTATAGGCCTTTGTTAAAGAGGGAGAGATGCGTCACAGAGAGAAGAGTCAGTAACACAGTGGGAGAACATGCATGCAAATCACTCAGTAGCTGAGTAGAGTCAGGGATAAGAGGAATATTTGAGATGCAACTCATCCCTCTTGAATCTGGGAAGGATAAATAGATAGGGGAACTAACAGAAAAGACAGTAAAAGGGAAAAGATTTGGTTAGCGAAAGGGACAGCAGGAGTCTAAATGAGAGCCAGAGAATGCAAATGTATATGAAGAGAACAAATGAAGAGGCTGCATCTCAAATGTCGAATTGCTCTCCTTCATCCCTAGTGGATGTGGCAAGAACATTCATCATCGTCCAGTCTGGTTTAACCTCCAATGTATAGAATACAGAGCTGAAAACGCTGAAGGAAAAACAGAAAAGCAAAAGGAGAACACAGATAATAAAGTAAGAAAGAAATAGAGAGTGTTCTGATAAAAATATGAAGAATGGCTTTGCACTAAAATGCATTCATCTTGCAAAAATGAGAGGAAGAGGCACAGAAAAAAAGAAAGTAAAGAAGACATCTGAAACAGTGAATTAAAATGTGAAAATATTGGTATAATAACAATACTGGAAATCAACTCTTATAATTGATGTAAAACTTATTTTGAAAAGGTACTGATATATGCTTCAGTGTTTACTTCATGGTGTGCTCTGTATTGAAATATTGAGGATTACAGTTTGTTTAAAGGATATGACTTGTATATTAATATGTATTAGATTAGTTTGCTGGGCAACAGCCTCCGGTGGGTGTCGTTATTCTTATTCTTGAACACATTCTGCTGGTAGTGTTAAAAATAGTCTATAACAGCAGAATAATGAAAAGGGCTCTTTCGCATCCTGCAAGCTGAATCAAAATGGCATGATGGACATTTTGTTTGCAATGTTAATAACTTTTGACACACTATTCATAACTGCTTTTGGTTGGATATAAAGTGTATTTTAGATGGTCAGGGTCCTGGAATTTAGGAAGACTTTGAAGTTCTGAGTGAAATAAGGTGGAGATGGAGAATTATTTGATACCTATGTCAGTGGAGGTCATCTGTGGCTCCTGAATCAGTCCATGTGATGCCTATTATGCAAAAGTAAAAATCTAGAAGCTGACTAGATATATGGCTTTCATTTTAACTTACTGTATTAATTTAAAAGAGCCTACAGATAAAAATGTGAGTATGGGAGACCAGTCTTTTGGGATTGACATTTACCTTGCCCCTGTTACAAAGACATCAGCACTGTTTAAGCAAAAGTAGATAATTTATTGTACAGTATCTAAAGTACTTTGTCACTATGGAAAAGAACAGAAAGTGTGAACCCTTAGCATTGCCTGCTTTCTTAAAATGTGTCATACAGTTTATGTAGTATTCAAACTTGTAGGTTTCAGTCTCTCTTGAGAATCTTCACAAAATTTTGAATCTTTGAGTACAAAAAATTCCAACTCAATTAAAGGTAAAAGTGACTTTTGGCAGCGCTTAACTTATTCTTGGTTATTTAAACATCTAAGATTTCATTATTATTAGAATGTTACAGATGTATTTGCTATCTAATTTTAATTAATCACAAATAGGAAGACTCCAGTAACTCTAAACATGAGTAAAGTTGCTGGCAGAACTCTCACTGATTTTGACAAGGCCCAAATTTCACTCTGCAGAAGAATATTTTCTTAGTGATGAATAGGTGTCTAAACATGAGGCTCTTCAATCTTTTATTGTTCGTAGAAATATATTTGCAACATATGCTGATAATTCAATTCAGTAGACTGGTTCACTCTAAAGTGTGAACAATATTTTAAACTCATTTTAGCAGTTTTTATATAATATTGCCTAGAACAGGAAAGTGCCTTCTAGACAACCCTCTCCGAAATTCTAAAGGTGAACTTCTGGATGTCTGTGTTTGAACAGTGAAAAATGAAGCATAAGAGGTAGAAGCCGTACTTCACTTTCTGTTTCTCCTTGGAAATAAGCTCTGTATATGATAGGTATGCTACTGACAGTGGCATAAGCCAGCTAGGATAAAGGGACATAAGGACAGAGTTTTGAAGGCTGTAAAATTTTAGCCTTTAATTTTCCGGATATTGAAATGACTTCCAGCCATGGTAACACCATGATAATCATGTAACCATGATAAGACAAACTCTGACAGACTGATTTGATAACAGAATCTTGCAGTGGTGGCCTAAACATGAGGGTGATAAAGAAATGTTGCCTAACCACATGTAACACATGGCATATTTAACTTTGATTTTGAATGTGTGAACAGTGTGATGCAAGCATGCGGCCTAAGAGGAGAAGGAGAGGGCAGGATTTTCTTTGGTAATAGCCTGTCCTTAAACTGAATTACGCCTAATGTGGTGCTGCATCCTGAAGCTTGGTTGTGGGTCTGCCCCGGTGTGTAGGCAGGCTTCTTGCTGGGACTTCGTGGTCTATACCTGGCTGCGGGCTGAGCGCTTGCTGCATTTGTCCTCCTTCCTGTGCCATCCCACGTGCAGAAGCTCCTCCAAGCTGAGGACAGTTCCTCTTAGGGAGGGAGCAATCTCTCCTCTTTTAGACAGCTCTGTCTGACATCAGCAGAGCAGCAGCAGCAGTCAGGACAAAACTGGCAGCCATCCCCTCTGCTGCCAAGTTACCCTTTCTCCAACTCATCCCATGACAAAACACAACAAGCAGCAGGTGCATGATAAACTGTGGGCAAAGAAACCTATCTGCACCCTACTGTAGTGCCTTTCAGAACAGGGCAGCCTTTTATTCTACAAGTTAGTACATTACCTAAGACAATAAAGATCTTCACTATAGTTGAAATAACATTTAACGATTATGATGATAAACAGGAATGTGGAGGAAATGATCTTGTGTCCTCCTGCATCTGCAATGAAAATATATTTTCTTCTGAGTCAATAAATTTGTTCATTGACTAAGTAGACCTTTTGATTTGTGGTATTGATGTGAGATAGCAATTATTTTTGTGCAGAAAAGCTCTGTTTTGTGAGGGTTGTGTTACTCTTCTTTTAAAATAGGATTTTAATTTTTTTTTAATAGGAGTAATTGGAGCAGATGTGAAAGGACACAACCTGCCATGTGAAAATCAGCTAATTACATCTCGAGTTGCTCTGATCTGTGGGACATCTTCATGCCACATGGGGGTAGGTTGTATGCCTCGTCCTAATTTGTATGTAATATAGTAACTAATATTTCTGAAGGCAAGAATGTCCTCTGTCTCTCTAACCCTTTTCCTTTTCCTTGATTTTTCTGGTAACTGTATCTTTAGCTTTGGATATTAATTATATATTACCATGCATTTGCTATTAAGCAAGAACTTTAATAGTGGTAGAAATCAATACTGAAAAAATGACATGAAAGGTAAAAACCATGATGCTAGAGTGGCTTAAAGAGCAGCCTGAAATCTGAGCCAAAGACTGAGCTTGAGTTACCCGTGACAAGCCTGTCGCTAATGTGTTACAGAATAGTGTATTTGGAGGAGCGTGTCTTTAGTCACAGCCCTTCTCCCCCACCCACCTCTTCACTTAATCAATATATATCCTTCTACCTCTGAAAGCTGCCATGATCTATAGAATTATGATATGTATCATGACTAAAAAGAAAGAAAAACCTTGATAAGCAATTTTCACTTTGCTAATTTTTCTCTGTGAATTAACACAAAAGCTTTTTCTGAGATTGCAATTAAAATTTAGTGTCTGCTTTTGAAATTTATACCTTTTTAAAATGTATGAGTCTGAAAGCATTCCATTTAGATAAGTACCCTTTTCTGCCACATTTTTTATTTAAAACTCATTACAGTCTTAAATTTAGACTGATTATAACTTGGATGTGTCCTAAATGAGCAAATGGCAATAGGAGTGCTGGAGGCTTTGGGAAGGACTAACATACTTCATGGAGAGAGATCTCCGGTAGAGAAAAGAAAAGAAGTTGTTTAAATAATAAATAAAGTGGCAATCTTAACATGAGTCTGTAAGCTGTCTTCATAGTAACAGCATGTATTAAAATGATGATCTTGTCACACAGACTGTAGTTCAGCAAAGCATTTAAGCACATGATTGAATTTAAGGATATGAATAATCCCAGTTTTGTGAAGCAGAGCATTTAATAAAGGCTTAAATGCTGCAGAAAGCTTGGAGTATATTTGGATTCCTACCTAAACTAGAGTTTCTGGCCTTGAATCCCACCACTTTTAGGCCTGCTCTGTCTCTGAAAAATTACACTGGTATCTCTGCTTCTCAAGGCACAGGCAGGGCACTCTGCAAATACCAGGGCTAGCAGAAGAAGTTACCATTCCTAGCCTACTCCTACCTATTACAATTTCCATTTCTTTTGATGGAGGTTTCTGCCCCTTCAGACCTTCAGCAGAAACTGTTTGTGTGAACTCTTCCTAACCTATTTCATTTAGCTGAGTTAGTTTAAATCATTAAACTGAGCTGGATTAATAGAGACCTAATGCTGCACTGAAATGAGCTAAGAAACATTCAGAGAGTTTCTCCAAAAGGTCTGAGGGCAATGTTGAACAGCTGGAAATGGGCCAGTTGGCTGTAACTTACTCCTTTAGTGTAACTGGTACTGGAAGAAGATGTGTATGGTCATTTATTAATTTTTCATATATGTACGCTGATAAGTTTTAATGTAGACCCAGTTATACAACTGTGGCTTGTTTTGCTTCCCAAACTAGAGCAAAGTATACCAGTATAAACTTACTCCATGACGACAAGAGATGTGGCTCCATTAATTATGCTAATGTAAAAAAAGTGACAAATCTTTCCACAATAAAACCCATGTTGATGTTAATCAATATTCCCTTCTGTGATTAACGTCACCCTGAAGTCATGCATAGACTACACACCGTAGACAAGGTGGAACCTTTTAAGGCTCTTAATCATTTGAATGCAAACTCAGGAACAGATGCTTGTGCAGTTTTTGGATAAATTTAAATTGATTTTAATTTAAATGTAACTGCTCAGCATTTTGTAAGCATTTCCTTACCTGCCTTCTTTAACTCATCTGCTCAGAGGTATAACAATTTCTAGCTGGCAGACAATAAGTGAATTCAAAGCTTCTCTGGGTTTAATCAGCGAAAGGACTTTGGTTTACTGTTCTTTTATCTATACCTGCATAACTGTATGAAGCGAACATAGAGAACACACAGCAGTTGTATTTATGTTTTACTAAGAGCTATATGCAGCTGCATTTGGCTGAAATTAGCTGTTCCTTTTTTTAATTAGGGCTATAAAATGAAAGTATATTATACTTGTGTTTTGATAGAAATATATATTTTCTCTCTGTGTGCACCAAGGGACCCTCAGGGCTACAGAGATTAATCATCGGGTTTAATTTAATGCAGTGGGAGAGAGACCTGTGTGGTCAGGCGGGCATTAAAAAGTGCCTTTGATCTGCTTCAGGTGCACTGAGCCCCAGTGAGCCGGCAACAATAATACCTTTGTGAGATGATCAGAGACGAGAGAGGGAGAAAATGGCCTGTGTGGAAACTCAAGGCCTTCCTTTGTTGTGGTTCTGGCAAACGAAAGAGCCAACTGTCAGGAGAAATTCAGAAAACAGAAAGCAGGGTGAAAGTACGGCTGGATTTCTTTCAAGGGATCATAACAGGAAACTGTTCAAAATCATCTGCTGTGCTGCTTTTTTTCCTCCTTCCTCCTTTTGATGGGGGCAGGGGTATTACTGTTGGTGTATGTGCCTGGGTACAGTATTTCCATTCTCGAGACTGAATGCTCCATGAGTCACAGAAGCTCATATTGCTTGAATGGGGCATTTACTTTAAATTTTAAGAGAAACTACTCTATGACCCAGTTCTCATTACCTCAAGGACTCTAGAGATCTTGAACAAAAGCCTTTGCTAATCATGCCTTTGATATTTTAGAAAGTACAAATGTGGAACCTAATTTTACTCATGGCTATAATAGCTTAATTTGTGGTAGAACTACTGTTTTTAAGTGAGGATACACTTTTGGACTTAACCACTGACAGTCTTGGGTAGTCAGACACACACAGAGCATTTTGTAAGAATGTTTCTGCTGAGATACTTGGATAGCCCATGTTAGAGGTAGAAAGCATGTTGTAATTCGGTTACTGATGCAAGTCCAGCTCCAAGTTGGTAGTTGCTGAAAGTCACTGCTACCTCACGGCTCATCCATTACCCATGAGAGAAAAAAAAAAGATGGTCTTGAATATTTTTGGAGGGTTATTTAAGTTACCTGAATCTCTGCTGCCTCCTTTGCCCTAGCAAAAGTCATCAGCAGAATCTGCTTTTGGAATGGCAAATAAGCTGTCCTTTTACATTTGGAAGATTGTCCCTAGTTTAGGGCTGGGATTCGTTTGCTGTAGCTTTGATCTCTCTGTGCAGCATAGGTATTCCTTTCAAGTGAGGGACGCTCAGTGGCCAGCATTTCTGAGCGGGCTGCTGCATGTCATCATGCTTTTTAGACAGGGTTTCTAAACTCCAGCACCCACATTTAGTCTTCAAACTTTTAAGCAGACTTTCCTTGTGTATCCATGGTGACTCTCAAACACATACTCAAAATGTGTGAGTATTTTTTCACAGTAAAATAGCAACGGGTTTGAGGCAGTGAAAGAGCAGCTTGCATAATATCCTTGACTAGTAGTTGCATAGGTCTAACATACATGCTGTAGCTTCTGGAAATCAGGTAATTGGTTTCTCTAAAAGCCTCCCTTCCTACCAGTGTCTTATGGGTCTGACATTTTAAAGTTTCAAAAGTCTTTTGTTTTCTTCTGAAACCTTTATGTAATTGGAGGGGTTTCAGGTACAGACATATGTATTATTTTGTCCCACTCCTAAATGCAAGCGTGATTGCCCTTTTGCAAATGTGTAAACCCACCAAGAACTGAGTTAACTCTTGGATGCCAGTTAGCAAACAGCAGAACAGTAATATAAACAAAGAGTGACACACACGGTACTCATACACAGAAATTCCCCAGTATTGCCCACAGCAGATAGTCCAGCAATACTGCTGCTTCTTTCTGGTAGGTAAATCCAGTGCCTGATATCAGTGTAGCACTCTTCCCAGGCACTAAATCCGCACAGTAACCCCCTTTTTTTCCCTGAAAGTAAAATGTTTCTTTAGGTTGCAAGCTTTTTGATACAGAGACTGTGGGTTTGAGTATGCTTATGTGACACCTGACGGATTGGGACTGTAGTATTAGTCAGCATTTGTCTTACTAGAACAATACATTAGTACCTGTACCAGTTTTAAGTTTAAAAGACCTGAGGGGAAAACGTCTTTCATTATGGTCGTGGAACTGATACAGTTAGGCAGTTTCATTTGAAGTCTGAGCAGAGATGCTGTGAAGTGAGATCTGTAGAATTTGTTGATGGTGTTTTCAGTACATTGTGTTATCTCTGGTCAAATGAAGGGGTAGTAGATGTTTACTCCTATGCACACGTTCTCTTTTTCTGTCTTCCAGGGTCTCCTTGGGTTGAATTGTTTATGAAAGCAACCTGATTACCATTTCTGGTTTTTGAAGTCTTGGTCAGAAGCAGAATCAGAGGGCTAATGATAGAGGCCTGATCAGCTGAGGTGTCCAGTGAGAAGGCTGGGTACAAGGGGATGCCGGAGGCAAAAGGGAGCATTGGGCTGCAGTGCTGGAGTGACAGGGATATGGGATCATAGCCCAGGTCTCCAAAGCCAGCAAGAGCTGTGAAGGGGAGAGAGGGAAGGAAAGAAGGTGGGAGTGCTAGAGAAGGTTTAGGGCTCTGGTGCAGAATTTTGGTGGGGCGCATGAGAGGCTATGTGGGGGCTACGAAGGTTTAGGGGCTCTGGGACAAGCCAGAGCACAGCATAACCTGTGTGGCTTTTGGTCACCTTTCTGTAATTGTTTTTTGGTAGCCAGAGGTTTTGAAAGAAATTTGTAGTAATGTAAAATGATAAGCAGAAATTAATAGTTGTGGAATGAGAAGACCAGGAATGCTGAGGGTTGTGGAGTCACTAGGGCATAATGCTGCTTCTCTGAGACTGAGGCTTTTGTGGGGGACAAGGAGGGACATGCATGCAGAGCTGCAAGGTTAAGTCCATTGTGGGGGAGAGCAGTGTTCTTCTTTCCCAACGGTCTTTGTTGTCTGAAATATGAGGTCATTACTAATCTTGTATGTGTACAGGATATC